GTTGAGCTATAGGCGCCGAGCCGAGACTATTGAAACTCATGCAATCTCTGGCATTATTTTTATCTCATTCCCTCCTCGGACTGGGACAGGGATAGGCAAGAATTCTACCTTTAAAGGGACAAACATGGCCAAAGAGAAAAAAGGATATAACAAATGCTCCCCAGGGTAGAAGTTACAGTGCTTGCCCAGGATGCCCTTGACTAGTGCTTCACACTCCAGACCTCTAAGAGTTCTTTCCTAATCATACCCAGCTAAAATGACCCCAGTCTCTTCATACCCTCTTTACCTTCCTTGTGGGCACATTAACCCAAGCCTTTATTTTATTACCTTTTTTTTGAGACAGAGCCTCATGCTGTCACCCTGGGTAGAGTGCTGTGGCATCACAGCTCATAGCCACCTCCAACTCCTGGGCTCAAGCGATTCTCTTGCTTCCTCCTTCCAAGTAGCTGGGACCACAGGCGCCTGCCACAGCACCTGGTTATTTTTTGGTTGTACTTGTCATTGTTGTTTGGCAAGCCTGGGCTGGGTTCAAACCTGCCAGCTCTGGTGTATGTGGCTGGCACTTCAGCTGCTTGAGCTACAGGTGTTGAGCCAAGCCAAGCCTATATGACAAGCTCTGAAAGGCAGACCTTGGACCTCCCCCATGCTATTTTCCTATCAGACTCAACACATAGTAAGCATATCTGGTCTGGAAGCTACCTCTGTTTTCCTAGGCAATAGGTAGACCTGTTATAGAAAATAACCAAGCAAAAGCAAGCAGAGGCTGGTCAGTTAACACCAGGTCTTGGTAACTTCTGTGTGCAAAGATCTGTTAAGGGACCCAACAGGAAGAAACCAGTAAGTCTTGCCCTCAAAGACACTCTGGTCTAGTGGGATAACAGAGCCATCCACATACATGGGAAGAAAACAGTGACAAGACTTGTTGAAAAATTCAAAAGCATGGCTCAGCACCTGTGGCTCAAGCAGCTAAGGTGCCAGCCACATACACCTGAGCTGGCGGGTTCGAATCCAGCCCGGGCCCGCCAAACAACAATGATGGCTGCAACCAAAAAATGGCCAGGCGTTGTGGCGGGCGCCTGTGGTCCCAGCTACTTGGGAGGCGGAGACAAGAGAATTGCTTGAGCCCAGGAGTTGGAGGTTGCTATGAGCTGTGATGCCACAGCATTCTACCTAGGGGGACGGCTTGAGGCTCTGTCTCAAAAAAAAAAAAAAAGAAAGAAAAATTCAAAAGCAAAGGACAAAGGGTAAAGAAGGGCAAGTCTGAGACATGTTAGAAAACATCCACATCATGAAGGAGATCAGAAAAGAAAGAGATGCTCCTTCCCTGGGTACAGGTGAAAGTTCACTTTCAGACAATCTATAAAAGCAAGAAGGCTAGGCATGGTGGCTCCTGCTTATAATCCTAGCCTTGTGGGAGACAGAGGTTAGTGAATTGGAGCTCAGGAGTTCAAGACCAGCCTAAGCAAGAGACCCTGTCTCTACTATAAATAGAATAATTAGCTGAGTGTTGTGGCAGGTGCCTACAGTTCCAGGTACTGAGGAGGCTGAGGCAGGAAGATCACTTGAGCCCAGGAGTTTGGGGTGCTGTGAGCTACAATGATGCCACAGCACTCTACCCAGGGTGACAGAGTGAGACTGTGTCTCAAAAAATTTTTTCTTTAATAAAAAATAAATAAGCGAGAAAATAAACACTTTCTCTCTTTGGCACTCTCTTCCTACCATACTATTTCATTTACTAGCAAATATGTCACTGCTTGAAATAGAAGGCTTACTACCCTGTGGTACAAATTAGAGCAGAGATACAATGATCCCTCTAAAAGTCAGGGTGGGGATTCCAACTCTTAGGGTCTTTTCCCCTCTACTCAACCTGGTGCAGGGATCAGTAAAGCATTGACCTTCTACAAATCTAGAGCTCCAATGCTAGGACACAGAGCTCAGTAAATACTCTGACAGGACACTGGCCATGTCTACAAAAGTGGATAATTCAAATTACCAGCCTAATCCTAAAATCATTTTCATTTGTTTTAGCAATACACTATTTTTAGAAGTACTATTACATGCCTAATTACATCTACTTAGTTGATAAAAAGATACAACATAAAACAAATCTGATTTATCTAAAAATACAGAATTACTGGGGGAAAGCATGATGAGAAGCCAGACTGCAAACAGACATTTGCTGGTGGATAATTCACAAAGTTTCCATCTAGGCACCCCTTGATTCATAAGGTTCATTTTTACATCTGTATCTGACTGAACTAAACTCTGAGTTTCATCTATCTGTCTTCTCACCCTCTAATAACTAATAAAGAGCAATAACAAGTCAGAAGTAAGGAAATGGCCAGTGAAGAGCTAGAACCTGTTAATTTACTCATCTTTTTCCCTGGATAACCACTGAGTTGAATGCATCAGGCCTTACACAGAGTTGAGCAATCATGTCCCAGTTCCAGATCTCATGTACCCAAGTATGTCACCTCGTGTGGAGCAGTGGAAAGGTGTGCAAGCTCAACTCTGAGCTAGCAGGGGCAAGAGGCATAAGTAGGGAGGAAGGGTGTCCCGAAATTCCCCATTCAGTTAGGTCACATTGCCTCATTCCACCCTCTTTCTCAGCAAACATGTATGTTATCTCCCCTGTGTGTGCTACCTGGCTCTGAAGGACAGTCCCTTAGGTTCCATTTCCCCCTCTCATTGCTACAGTTGATGCCACCTAACTAAATACACTTTTAAGTCTTCACTCATTCTGAATGCCCAACTAACATCACTGGTAATTGACAGTGCCTACAAGAGGTCCACGAAACCATCTACCCATCTAAGAGCTGCTGCCAACTTCTACCAGCCCCTGAACACCTATAAAAACACACATCACTTCTCAACTTGACATATGACAGGGTTGACAGTAAAAATAGCTGTGTTGTGTATGTGGAAATGAATGTCAAAACTAAATTCGGTAAACACGGATGCAGTATCCCTCACCAATGCCCCCATCTATTTTCATGCTAGAGGCTGCTGTTACTATAACAACTGTCCAGGATGTTGGCACACACTTCTTCCTTCAGGAGCAGGAAGCTGGAGCAGTTTGTGTCGCTTTATAAAAAACTTGAAGGCCTCCTTCCCCACCCCCGCCCGACATCCGCTCCAGTATCCCCCTCACCCAGTTTCTTAACTCCCTTTCCCACCCCCCACACCTACCTCCTCTAACTCATCCTTGGCATCCAAACTGGTTGAAAGTAGCAGCCTCCCCCCTCCTGGGGCTCCTGCTCCCGCTCCTCCTCCTCCACCTCCCGCCGCTCCCGGAGCAGCTGCTGCTGCCGTCCCTTTTCCCTTCTGTAACTCCATGGCTGCAGCCAGGAGACAGGAAGAGGTCAGGGAGTGGATGGGTGGAAAGTCCTAGAAATGGGGAACTCCGGGTTGCTAAGGGCCGGGGGCCAGAAGAGCACGCTGCGGGCGAGCAGGGCAAAGGCCCGGTCCCCCCACACCTCTCTCCAAGGCCGCGTGCGGAGCGGGCGAAGGCGGCGGTGCTCTGGGTCCCGGCTCTGCAGCGGCGCTGCTGAAGGGAAGCCGTTAGCACCAGAGTATGGTGGGGTCGAGGTCTGCGCTCCTACGGGAGGGGAGCAGAGGCCTCCGCCCCTGAAGAAATGGACCCTAAGAGCTTCTGACCTAGAGAAGAGAAAACCTTAAGTTTTTACCCCTTTTCCTGGTGGGGGAGGGGGGAGTAGTCCTGCCCCTGAAGCAGGGTATAGGAAGCCTTCTTGGCCGGTGCCCTGAGGGCTGGGGAGTGAGGCTCCTTTGGATCCGGCCCTTAGGAGGTGAAGGTGAGGCAGTAAGCGCTATAGGAGGACACGGAGGACCAGCGTCTCCCTGTAACACCATACGCAGGCAGCCATGGTGGAAGGGAAGGGGGTGGAGGGCCGAGGGTGGCGGCAAGGGAGGGAGATGGGGGAATCGTCGCGACCCGCGCCGGAAGTGACTCGGCGCTTGCCCTTGCCCTCCGCCAATGGCGGCTTCCGCGGTGGAGCGGAGTCTCCAAGGTGCAGGAAGACAGCAGCTGACAGGCCTTTTCCTTGGCGGCCAATTGTACTGAAGACAAGAGAACCCGGTCTGATGGGTACCCAACATGCCCAATCGCATCTCACTTTTGCTCTCAGGGGGCGGGACGGTCGACAGGGGGGTGGGTGGGAGTGCGCAACGATCGGAAAGGAGAAGGGCAAGTCTGCGTACGCTCATTCATGTTCCTGCGTCTTGTCGCTGCCTTCCCTCTTGCTCCTTTCTAGAACTTGGTTGGATGCAGGAACCGCGCGTTTTCTCTGGGTGGCATTGGGAAACGCGAAGCAATGCAGGGAGACGGAGCGGAGCCCCTATCCTTAAACTATCAAGGCAAACGCCATCGGATGGTATGGAACCAGCTCCCAGAGCTGAGCGCATCACGGCGGCAAGTGCGTGCGCTCACCCAAGTGCGGTTATCAGCCAGAGTGCAAAAAAAAGCGCTTTGACCCACTGCTGCAAAACATATCAATAGAATCATGCCAGCACTAGCCCCGGCAAAAATTTGCTGAATGATGGAACCATCTTCGTCTTTGAGAATCTGACACTGACCCGCGTCGCTGAAGTCATTGTAGTCTCTCCAATGATCCGGGGTAGAACGTTAATGCGTTGTGAACTCATTCTTCATCTGTGCGTCACAATAGCATTTTCCGTGTTTTCAAGAGCATTTTAAGATTCTTATAGAGACCCAAAGACAGATTTTATTTCACTATTTTTATTTTCTTATCTTATGCTCATATTTCACTGTTTTTTTTTTTTTTTTCTTGGCTGGGATGGATTTGAACCTGCCACCTCTGGTATATGGGGCCAGTGCCTTACTCCTTGAGCCACAGGCACCACCCATATTTCACTGTTTTAAAAAGAATTATTATCTGGCATGATGGTGCACACCTTTAGTCCCAGCTACTAGGGAGGATGGAGTTTGGGACTTCAGTGAGCTATGATGAGCCCACTAGGCTCCAACCTGGTCAACAAAGACCCTACCTCAAAAAGAAAAAAAAAATCAATACCCCTGCTTGTGGGCGGTGCCTGTGGCTCAAAGGAGTAGGGCATTGACCCCATACACCGGAGATGGTGGGTTCAAACCTGACCCCAGCCAAAAAGTACAACAATAATAATACCCCTGCTTTTTTGCTTAATGTAAGTTGGAGTTGAGGGCTACATGTCAGCTTTGAGAAGATTTTATGGATATGAGATCACTGTAGCGATACTAGTTATCACTGCTGTACAGCCAGTCCTATTTGTTTTTGTGCTTGTGATGACTTGACATTTTAACTTCATAGAACCTCCATAGTTGCCCACCTCCTTAAATTGACCTAATTTTCATAGACTAGACATGCATCACATGTATGTATCAGTATACAGCAGGCCTAGTTCCTTATGTTGATCACCAGTTTGCTATAGTCCCTTGGATGGTCAACTTACAGAGGTTCTACTGTAAGAGGTCCCTCTGTAAGAGGTCAACTTACAGAGGTTCTACTGTCTCTCTCTAGAAGCATACACAAACCCCCTATAATACTGGTTTTCTCCAGGTAAGAGACTGCCCAACACTGGGACTTTCATTCCTATAAAAATCTGTATTATTTTCTTTCATTGGAATATAGCCAGGTAGCACCTGTAGTTCCAGCTGTTTGGCAGGCTGAGGAGGGAGGATTGCTTGAGTTCACAAGTTTGAGACCAGGCTGGGCAATATAGTGAGATACTCCCTAATTTAAAAGGGAGGGTCCAATTTAAAAAAAAAGATATTTGCAATTTTTTCTTTTTGAGACAGAGCCTCAAGCTGTCACCCTGGGTAGAGTGCTATAACATCACAGCTCACAGCTCCAACTCCGGGGCTCAAGCAATTCTCCTGCCTCCTGGGACTATAAGCGCCTGCCACAACGCCTGGCTATTTTTTGGTTGCAGACGTCATTGTTGTTTTTGGCAGGCCTGGGCTGGATTTGAACCTGCTAGCTCAGGTGTATGTGGCTGGTGCCTTAGCTGCTTGAGCCACAGGCGCTGAGCCAGAAATTTGCAATTTGTTGTAATTTCTTTTCACCTTCTAATTAAACATTTCGTAACAATTCTGTACTCTTTTTCTTCTTTCTTTTTTTTTTAGACAGAGCCTGAAGCTATCGCGGTAGGTAGAGTGCTATGGTGTCACAGCTCACAGCAACCTCAAACTCCTGAACCCAAATGATTCTCTTGCCTCAGCCTCCCAAGTTGCTGGGACCACAGGCGCCCGCCACAACACCCAGCTATTTTTTGGCTGTAGTTATCATTGTTGTTTGGCAGGCACAGGCTGGATTCGAACTCACCAGCTCTGGTGTATGTGGCTGGCGCCTTAGCTGCTTGAGCTACAGGTGCCACCTGTACTCTTTTTCTTAAAAAGGAGCCACCAAACGTTATAAGCTCCAGATCTCACAAAACCTGGATTCACCCTGGCTCAGGGCCACCTGCAGAGGGACTTTGAGGAGACATAAACCTGTCTAGTGGAGTTTTTAGATAGAAATACTTATTCTGCATTATATAACCCTCCCTTTCCCCAAATCCTGTAAGAAATCTTTAGTACAATTGGTATTTTTCACTTTAAAATTCAATCAAGAACAACCTGGACAAAGACGCTTGGATTAACAGAAGCAGTGAGAACCGTGTGGGTGGTGACGCGTGTATGTGCAACATCAAGTCAGATAATAACCAGCTTGTGACAGGCTTGGGGAGGTGACTGTCCTGCTCTCTGCGCTCCTCAGATGGTGCCTGGAGGATTCTGCTGCACAGAGGGAAGTAAGTTGTCAAAGGGATGTTAACAAACTCCCAGGTGGTCACCCAGAATGATGAAAAGTTTGGAGTCAGATCTTGGAGAAATCTCAAAAGAAGCTACTTAGAGGCTCAGCACCTGTAGCTCAGCCGCTAGAGCGTCAGCCACATACAATGGAGCTGGTGGGTTTGAACACAACCCAGGCCTGCCAAACAATGACAACTACAAATAGCTGGGCATTGTGGCGGGTGCCTGTAGTCCCAGCTACTTGGGAGACTGAGGCAAGAGAATCACTAAGCCCAAGAGTCTGAGGTTGCTATGAGCTGTAACACCATAGCACTCTACCCAGGGTGACAGCTTGAGGCTCTATCTCAAAAAAAGAAAAAAGAAAATGGTCTTTGAGAGCGGTGCCGGTGGCTCAAAGGAGTAGGGTGCAGGCCCCATATGCCAGAGGTGGCGGGTTCAAACCCAGCCCCAGCCAAAAACTGCAAAAAAAAAAAAACAAAATGGTCTTTGAGTTTTGGCTTCACAATGGTCCTTACACAAACCATTCTGCTTTTCACTTCCAGTACAGAATTTTTTTTTTTAGAGACAGATTCTCACTCTGTTGCCCTCGGTAGAGTGCTGTGATGTCACAGCTCACAGCAACCTCTAGTTCTTGGGCCTAGGCGATTCTCCTGCCTCAGCCTCCTGAGCAGCTGGGACCACAGGCGCCGGCCACATCGCCCAACTATTTTTTTGTTGCAGTTTTGGCCAGGGCCGGGTTTGAACCTGCCACTCTCAGTATATGGGGCTGGCGCCCTACTCACTGAACCATAGGCGCCACCCTAGAATTTTTTTTTTTGAGACAGAGTCTCACTTTGTCAGCCTCGGTAGAGTGCCCTGGTGTCATAGCTCATAGCAACCTCCAACTCTTGGACTTGAATTCTCTTGCCTCAGCCTTCCAAGTAGCTGGGACTATAGGCAACCACCACAACACCCCTGGCTATTTTTATTTTTTTGAGACAGAGTTTCACTATGTCGCCTTGGTAGACTACCCTGGCATCACAGCTCACAGCAACCTTAAGCTCTTGGGATCAAGTGAGTCTCTTACCTCAGCCTCTGAAGTAGCTGGGACTATAGGCAGCCACCACAAAGCCCGGCTATTTTTTGTTGCAGTTGTCATTGTTGTTTAGCTGGCCTGGGCTGGGTTTGAACCTGCCAGCCTCAGTGTACATGGCCTGAGCCCTAACCACTGAGCTATGCGCTGAGCCACCACATATTTTTAGAGATGGAGTCTTACTCTGGCTCAGACTGGTCTTGAATCTGTGAGTGCAGGCAATCCACCCATCTAGGCCCCCCAAGTGCTGGGATTATAGGCGTGAGCCACCATGCCCAGCCTCCAGTACAGAATTTAGTAAATTACATGAAATATTCAACACTCTATATAAAATAGGCTTTGTGTAAAATGATTTTGCCTGACTATAGGCGAATGTGAGTGTTCTCAACACATTTCAGGTAGGTTAGGCTGAGCTATGATGTTTGGTAGGTTAGGTGTATTAAGTGAATTTTTGGCTTACCTGATATTTTCAATTTAGGATGGGTTTCTTTTTTTTTTTTTTTTGAGACAGAGTCTATGTCACCCTCAGTAGAGTGCTGTGGTATCACAGCTCACAGCAACCTCAAACTCTCAGGCTTAAGCGATTCTCTTGCCTCAACCTCCCAAGTAGCTGGGACTATAGGTGCCTGCCACAAGGCCCAGTTATTTTTTGGTTGTAGTTGTCATTGTCGTTTGGCAGGCCTGGGCCGGATTTGAACCTACCAGCTCCGGTGTATGTGGTTGGCACCCTAGCCGCTGAGCTACAGGCGCCAAGCCTAGGGTGGGTTTCTTGAGATGTAACGCCATTGTAATTCAAGGAGGGAGGAGCAGGCACTGTTGCTGAAGGAGAGAGTAGGCATTTGCATAGTTAGTGCTGGGACCAGCTAAAGAGATGGGAAGACCGATTAGCTTTTCTATAAATGCAAAGGGATTTTATATTAAATATCCAATGTCAAACAATTTATAATTCATATTTGAATGATGTTCATCAAATGCTAGCAATGACTTTCTTTTTATACTTTATTTATTTATTTATT